CAGTTGTACAATGCTTATAGTCTCCTCATAACAGTGGCCACAGAGTATATTCATAGCAAAGTACGACATCAGCGGCCACCGCCCTGACGCAGCTTCAAACAGCCGGACCCAACATTCAGCAGCAGAAGCCACACAGCTAAAGTTTCGTTGTAGTACTGGCTCCTAGCACTAGCCACCGTCTGTCGCGACCTTCCTTGGCAGCATCTCTGGCACCTAGTGGTGACGTTTGGTAACAGCAACCCCAAGTTGTGGCCTGGCCTAGCAATGCTGGTACAAACTGAGTAGCTACTGCCCCTGCTTTTTATATAAGTTTCAGTCCTCACTGAGTAGTCTTCCACGGGGACATGATGCACTCAAGTGCCCGCATGCCTAAATAGTACAACGGTATCACGATAGTTTACTTGTGGAACATCAGTATTTTGCTGCAAAAAAAATAAAAATAAATAAATAAATAAATAATGGAGTAATTCGATGGCTGGCTCGGCCATGGTGGCGCAGCCCCCTCCTCTTTTACCGACCAAACCGCTGTTCAGATTCAAGTTCTGACGCGTCCATCTGACTCAGAATGCCTAAAAACCCCTATCTAGCATCTTACCTTGCTCAATTTGGTCAAAAAATGGCCGAGATCCGTCTACTTCCACCCCTACCATCACCGTTTCGTGGCATCTCCGCGCACCATTTTCCTTTCTTTTTCCCCTCCTACTAACCTCCTGCCTTCCCTGACTGCAGATTCGTGTTCGTCAGCCTTCAAAACCACAGGCTATCAACTCCCCTCATCAAGTCTCGTTAGGAAATAGCCGTGCTACGGATTCTCTTTCCGCCATACTCTCCAGCCTGACGTCACTTTTCCCTTCTTCCTCCAAATGTATCTGGCGCAGAACCGTGTCCAGGTTCATTCCGCTTTCCTTACTCAGCTGTAGCCAGGTGCTTATCTGTAGGACATGACCCCCTCCTGCTGTTTGCATGAGCTGGCTGCCCATAGCCTTGCTGAAGGTGAGCACCTCTCTCTTCCTCCCAACTCCCTTCCTCTCCGACTCCCCGCGGCCCCTTCGTTACCTTCGAATGCACCTAGCGCAGGCCTGCGTCTAGGTTCCCTCAAATTTTTCCTCCTCTCCTCGATTGCTGCCAGCACTTTTAGTTGCACAGGGCAACGCCCATCAGCTCCGCCATGTCCCTTTCCCTTGTCACTTTCACACTCCTCATGGCACACTACCCTGCGATTAGCTCCTTCAAGAGGTCGCACAACATTTGGCAATCTACCTCGTGCTACAGCGGCAACAGTGACGGGCGGTGACCCGGCTTTATACTTGTCCTTCTTACGAAGGGACCGTGTCAGCCTCTTCTGTATCGTTCCAATTTTTAACAGATGTCCCGTAGGACTATACCACAGCCTGGTGGTATCTGAATGGTCCGTGAGCGTACCTACTAAGTCGATCTGAGCATTACCGTCGGTCCACAGATCGGTCCCGACCACGTCCCATAGTGGGATAAAAAAACAACAAATAAAATGAAATCAGAAATTTAGGAAAAATAAAAAAATAAAAATAAAAATCGTGACTTAGAAAATTTTGGGAAAGAGGGCGGAGGAGGGAGGAGGACCGCCGGCACTTGGTCCTATCCCAGCGGGCCCGGTGTCGGACTCCCCTAGCAAAACTAAAAAGGATAGTCCCGCGGGACCCTCAACCCCCTAGTTCCCTTCAAACGCTCCTCCGCTACTTCACTGCTCCTCGCTGGCCTTGATCCCGAGATCTGCCTGGTGAAACTCCAACGCCGTAACCAATAGGGCTAAGCCCCAGCCTGATGGTAGCAGGCGCAAACTTACCTATAAACAGTATCCGCAGATTTCCTAGGCCTGCGGAGGCATGCCAAGCCCACAGCAAGGCATATCCCCCAAGCCATGGCTTTGCAGCGCCGTACAGCACCGCCTTGAGGCAGGCATTTGCGTGTCTTGCCGCACATGCCGGTCTTGCGTACCATTAACCGCAGTGTGTGGCTTTCCTGGCCCYGCYGTGGCCGGCCTTTTTACTGYCGTCCTACCGRAAGAAGCCCGGCATCCGCCCCTACCGAGACCAGTCCATATCCATTCGTCCAACCTCCGGTCCCCTGTGACACATAGTCAACTCAGTATTGTGCGACCCGCACTATGCGACCCAAAAAGAGGTCGGCTTTCAGAGGGTCAGCCAGGACTCCTTCCTGGCCGTAGTCCTTCTAGTTACACTTATGTCGGCCACGACTTTATCAGTGGTCGTGAGACTACGGCCCACACAGTCCGGTCTAAACTCCTAAGTTACCCGGTAGTCAAACAACTCGCGCCTGCCCGCAAAGTGCATGCTCACACACTCTCTAATCAAGCTATACATACGCCTGCCACTTCTGACATACAGTAGTCAATCGCGGCTAGCGACAAACCCCCCATTCTTTCATGTATCGGCTCAATCGCTTCTTCTGCGAAGTGCAAAAACACGCACATTTACCCTTGTAAGGGTAATGGTGCCGACAACGCCAACTTCACAGGTTAGTACTGGACACTTAGAGAGAGAGAGTTATTCTTCTTCCTCTTCTAAGTCCACCATCTCTTCTCACCCTCTCACCACCTGACTTCTCAGACTACGACAGAGAGAGAGAGAGTTGTGACTTGAGACTAAACGACATTGGATCCAGACTTGACATTTGGGATTCAGACATTTCGACGAGGGACTATTTGGGCCTGTGCCGAAGACTTGGTGTTGATGACATTCCCATCTTCCCCTCCTCCTCGTCTAACCCCCTCATTCTTCGTCTGTGTATGGTTGGGGCTGGCGCAGTCTTTTTGTGTGAAGCGCCAGACCCCTTTCACACCATGTAACGATGATGATGATGTATGTTCAGGGCTGCATTGCAATATTGATTGTTCGGATCATTGGTATCTAAGTCTTCCGCTACGCYATCTTGTACTTTGTATTGAGAGGTCGGTTCTTGTTCTGGTCTGCACCGTTACAGTATGCAACAGTTTGGTATCGGAGCGGACCTCTCATTCAGAGGACCCGCTCAATCAAGTAGCCATCTTGCTTGATTTATTGATCACTCATTAGTAAATCAAGTAGGACTTCATCAAATCTCTGAATCGCAACAACTATCTGAAAATTTAAAATTTCTGATATTCGCATTTCGTTTTACCTGAAAATTTCTGATATTGGTATTTCGTTTTCACGTAACAAATATCTAAAAATTTCTGATAAATTGCATTTCATTTTGTCTGAAAATTCCTGATAGTAGCATTTCGTTTCTCCGATAGTTCGCATACATAGCTGAAATTTCTGATGTTCGTATTTCGTTCTCTAGGCATATTGGGATAACGATAGAAGTGGTTATATTCTCGGAAACTGAAATTATTATTTTCTGAAAATCGAATTTTCATTCTATCTCGCAATTTTTTTTTTGAAAACCGAAATCTTATGAAGCCTACCAACATTTCGATAGGCATATTCGGAGGTTGCCATATTCTCAAAAAAAAAATTTAGTTCTTTTCTGAAAATCGCATCTCTATTCTAGCTCGCAAATTTTTTCTTCTTCAAAGATCGCAGTTTGTGAAAGCCGAAACTTGGCGAAACCTATCCTAGAGCTCGTTCATAGTACTCTTCTGACATGTCTCACTCATAACAGATCGACAGATGTAAAAAAATATAAAAATAAAAAGGAACTAGTCCTCTTTTATTTTTTTATTTTATTTTATCTGTTGATTAGGGTCGGGAGGAAAGTATTGTTGGGTTGGTTCCCTACCTGCGTTTTCCCTCCCCACCCATCCTTTGCATGCATTTCCGGGTTGGTACAGTGCCACGTCAGCAGTGCCATGTCAGCAACAGTGCCACATCAGCAATGTCACGTCAGCAGTGCCACATTAGCAACAGTGTCACGTCAGCAGTGCCACGTTAGCAACAGTCCCACGTCAACAGTGCCACGTCAGCAGTGACGTCAGCAGTGCCATGCAGCAACAGTGCCACGTCAGCAGTAACAATGCCATGTCACAGTGCCACGCCAGCAGTGCCCCGCCACCATGACGGGCACAGCTCTGGGCATGCCAGGCCAATTGGCCAACGAGTCTATTGCCGACTACAAACAGCGGTTCCAGACTCGGCTCGCATTGATTGAGGCTGAGGAACAACGTCAGCTGGCAGCCGAGGCTGCCCGCCTACAGGCTGAAGCAGCGGCAACAACTGAGAAGCAGCGGCTACAGGCCGAAGTAGACGCAGATGCCCAGACACACCGCAAGGAAGCCTAGGATCTGCTGCGGCGGCATGAAGCTGCCAGCATCGAAAGACTCAAGTTCTGGCACTTTCAACTGTCCAACGGCGACGACACGACACCGGAACAGCAGCATAAGGAGTTCCTCTCCAAACTCGTGACACGGTTGTTGTACGCTTGCAACTACCAACAGTCCGAGTTAGAGAGACAGAACCAGGAACTGCAGCAACAGTACCAGGATCTGAAGACACAACACCAGGAGTTAGCAAACCTCCGCCGGATAGTGCAGAACCACGAGGATGCTCAACAGGCATTCAATTCCCGTGTACTGGACCTGGAGCAAGACGTACCAGGACCAGATGCTGGTGAGTCCAGCAGTGCACCCTCTAACCGCCAACTGGAGCAACGCGTCGACCACGTCGTCGCAATGCTCGGCGACATCAGCACCTTCGCTGCGCCGACCACCATCAGCAATCAACTGGATACTTTGACGACCGAGGTCCAGCAACTGCAGTCGACGAACACGGATGGTAACAATCCAAAGCAATACAAGATGCCAACTTTTCAACTTGAGAAGTTCGACGACTACACGCATCAGGACTCGGTGCTCTGGTGGGAAGCTTTCACGGCGCAACTTCGGATTCTGCCTGTTGCCAAGCACGCGTACATCGGCGCCCTGTTCATGAACTCAAAGGGCGGATGCCAGATCTGGTTAACCCACCTGGCAGCCACCCACGGCGTCGACGTCGCAGATCTGAAAGACAAGATCACATGGGAAGAGTTAACACGGCTGTGAAAAAAGCGGTTCATCGTCGACGACGCACCAGCACTCGACATCAACCGTCTCTTCACCATGACTCAAGGCAACACAGCAACACGTGACTGGCTCACGGAATGGCAGAAGATCGCGGCAACGCCCGATCTTGACTTACCATTTCCGCATCTGCGCCGTGAGTTCTACAACAGGTCATGCGCTGCATTGAGCCAGGCACTTGGTGATCGCGAGCAGTATGCAACCTTCGCTGAGATCATTCACAAGGCGAGGGAGATCATCAAGACCACCAGGGCGGCTGCACACGAGAAGTCAACGTGGCAACCAACCTATGTGGAGAAAGTGAGAACTGGTTCGCGACAGCAGCAGTTCGTTGCAGTCCAATCGGACAACACTATGGAAGACCCGGCAGCCACCCAAGCGTCACGTGAGGGAGATCAGGTGGCTGCTGTGTGGAGAAGGTGAGAACTGGTCCGCGACAGCAGCAGTTCGCTGCAGTCCAATCGGACAACACTATGGAAGACCCGGCATCCACCCAAGCGTCACGTGAGGGAGATCAGGTGGCTGTTGTCCAGCCGCGAAGCAACAACAAACCCCGAGTGAACGGGAAGGCGAAACCAGCATCGCAGACCGAAAACGGATAGCCAGCACCACCATGGGTCAAGTTCAACTTGACCGAGGCTGAGTACAAGTACCGCGGCCGTTACGGCTGCTGTTACTGGTGCAACAGCACCAAGCACAAGACCTCCCTTTGCCAGGATCAGGCCAAGGAGGATGTGCGGCCTCGTCTTAACTCGGGAAACTGAGTGCCGCGGGAGGTGAGGCGACTCCACCCCCCATTCCGCCAGATTCGACCGCCTTGCTAGCGGCCTCCTACACATCTGGGAGGATGTGAATGTCGTAAGCTCTCGGTATGCTTACGAGGACTATGCTGTCCACTTGGTCCCACCACTGGACCAACCGCTCCACGTGCAACAATCTACCGCATGCACGGTTTCATCACCATCGGCAACCGATTCGGTAGCTTCGTCGCCGTCTACCGTCGGGGATTCAACGTCATGGTTAAGACTTGAAGAGCTCGACCCGTTGACATTTGCGGACTTCCAATGGATGCCCCTTCCCCGRTCCGGTCGATTGCCGAAACCGCATTGCAACGTGCTCAAGGCACAATTGCGGGATTACTTGCACACTGCAGTACCGACTCCGTTGATGGACGCCGGAGAAGAGGTTGTAGACCTTCACGCCTACATTGCGAAGATCGACCGCGAATTCAAGACGCAACGGTACGACGACATCAACGCACCATTGCTATACGTACGCATTCAGATCGGAAAGGCGACCTGCAGCGCTTTGATCGATTGCGGAGCATCTCGCAACTACATGAGTCAGGACTTCATGGTACACGTCGGCCTTGGCCCACGAGTCCGAAGGAAGTCCCAACCCACGCAAGCCACGTTGGCAGACGGTCACACGCACAAGTCAATCGACCGGTGCATTGACGACGTCCCAGTGTGCTTTGCCCCTCACGTAAGTGAGGCGGTGTCCTTTGACATTCTGAACACCAAATTCAACATGATCTTGGGCATCTCATGGTTGCGAAGCGAGGATCACCCGGTGAACTTCTACCGCCGCACCGTTCACGTTCGTGATCAGAACGGAGTACTAGTCCCATGCACGGTAGCTCCTCCTCACCCTTCAGTCAATTGTCACGTGGTATCCGCCGCAAGCATGCGAGCTTCCATCATCAGAGACGACATCGAGGAAATAGGGGTGTGTTTTTTCCACGCCCTCCCGCCCCATGACGCTTCATCGACGGACTCTTCTTCGGATCCACGCATCACCGAGCTTCTCGATGCCTACGGCGACGTGTTCGAAGGCCCGCACGGAGTCGTACCGGATCGGCCCATCCGCCACGAGATCATCCTCGAGTACGGGGTCGTACCTCCGTGCGGTTGTGTGCTTCGGGCACAACTCGACGACCTTCTGGAGAAAGGCTGGATTCGGCCTAGCTCATCGTCATACGGTGCTCTTGTTCTCTTCGTTCGGAAGAAGAACAAGGATTTGCGGTTGTGCATCGATCATCGCAAGCTCAACGCGCAGACGATCAGAAACGTCGGCCCTCTCCTACGCATCGACGACCTTCTCGAACGACTGGGCGGCGCCAAGTTCTTCTCCAAGCTCGATCTCAAGTCAGGATATCACCAACTCGAGATTCGGCAGGAGGACCGCTACAAGACCGCGTTTTAAGACGCGATATGGGCATTTCGAATGGCTGGTTATGCCATTTGGCGTTACGAATGCCCCGGCCACTTTCCAAGCGGCTATGACAACGGAGTTCCGACACATGCTGGATCGATACGTACTTATCTACCTCGACGACATCCTGGTGTATAGCCGGAGTTTGGAGGAGCATGTGGAACACCTGCGCACTGTTTTGAAGCGACTACGACAAGCCAAGTACAAAGTCAACCGCGACAAGTGCGAATTCGCGCGGCAGGAGTTGTGGAGTACTTGGGACATTATGTGACGCCGCAAGGCATCCGTCCGCTTGCGGACAAGATCGAGGCCCTACGAGTATGGCCCGAGCCCACCAACACCACGGACGTTCGTTCATTCATGGGATTGGCGGGCTACTATCAGCGATTCATCACCGGATACTCGAAGATTGCTGCACCTATGACGAGATTACAATCGCCAAAGGTGCCATTCGTATTCGATGACGACGCACGCCGGTCATTCCAAGCACTTGAGACGTCTATGCTCATGGCACCCGTCCTTAGCATCTATGACCCCACCCTGCCTACGACAATGATGACTGACGCTTTCGGCTATGGCATTGGGGCAGTCTTGGAGCAACACGACGGCGACGACTGGCACCCTGTGGAGTATTTCAGCTACAAAGTGCCTCCCATCAACTCGCTTGATGATGCAAGGAAGAAGGAGTTGCTCGCATTCGTCATGGCTCTCAAGCGATGGCGAAACTTCCTCCTTGGGCGTCGTAGGTTCACATGGGTTAGACAACAATCCATTGACCTACTACAAGACGCAGGATACGATGAGCAGCACGATCGGTCGATGGATGTACTTAATCGACCAATTTGACTTCACATACCAAACATCTTCCCGGCCTTGCCAATCACGCAGCAGATGCACTCTCGCGAAGACCTGATCTTTGCGCTATGACACATTATGCCTTCGCATTTGACGAGGAGCTTCAGCGACACTTTATCCGGGGATATGAGTCTGATCCGGACTTCGCCACGTTATATGCACAGCTATCTTCGGATCACCCGCCGACCAACCACTATCGCATCGCCGATGGGTACTTGCTCCTGCACTTGCGGGGTAAGGACTTACTATGTGTCCCACGCGACCGCTGTCTTCGGACTCACCTCCTCGGCGAGTATCATGATTCGCGACTCGCCGACCATTTCGGAGTCAACCGCACTATTGCACGGCTTCGACAGCGATTCCGATGGCCCGACCTCATCACCGATGTTACGAGGTATTGCGACTCTTGCGAAGTTTGCCGACGAAGCAAACCCCGCAACCACAACCCCTACGGCGAGTTGCGCCCGATGCCGATCCCGCAGGAACCCGGTCTCTCCATTGCCATGGACGTCACCGGACCATTCCCCCGCGACCGACTCGAACACGACGGCATCCTCACGGTCGTGGACCGATTGAGTAAGTACGTGCGTTTCCTCCCTTGCAAGTACTACTCTACGGCTCCCGAGTTGGCACGCCTCCTGCACACCGGCTGGATTTGCGACCATTGTGTACCGGAAGACATAGTCAGCGACCGCAATACTCGGTTCATGTCGGCATTTTGGACTGCACTCATGCAGGAGTCCGGCACGAAGATGAAGCCAAGTTCGGCTCGGCATCCACAGACAGACGGGCAGACGGACCGGGCACATCAAACCGCTCAAATGATGCTTCGTACGCTCATCCGTCCGGACCAAAAAGATTGGGTTGACCGCCTCCCCAACATCGAGTTCGCCTACAACACTTCGATGCACCCGACGATCGGCGTGACTCCATTCGAGTTGCACCACGGTGGACGAAAAGGCCGTATCTTCGCCGACCTTCTCCTCCCACGACCAGCCGACATCGATGCCGCTTGCTCACCCGCTTCCGTCCGGAAGTACAGGGAATTGCTGGCTCAAGCCCGCGTGAATATGCAAAAGGCTCAAGTCCGCATGCAGCAACAAGCCAACAGGCATCGCGTGCCATGTCCCATCCGCGTCGGCGACCTGGTTTGGGTTTCCGCGGAAGAGTGTGCACTGGAACAGGATGTCTCACGCAAACTGCTTCCCAAATGGTTTGGACTATGGCCCGTAACATCAGCCGCGGGCGATGAGCCCGATAGCCTTTCATTTGTGATCAACATCCCCCCACATTTGATGGTCCATCCAGTCTTTCACGCCTCAAAGCTGGCAACATACACGCCAGCTAAGAGCGACGACTTTCCGGGCCGACGATCGCAGGACCCTCCTTCTATGGATGGTCATCAGGAAGTTGACCACGTCATCACCGATCGCAAGTACGGCAGCAAGCCGCGACAATACAAAGTTACATTCAAAGCCTGCAATCGCGACGACACTCGATAGATTTCAGGAGCAGATTTGAAAGCATCCGCACCGCTGATCTACGCGCATTACGAGAAGCAAAGGTTAGCTCAGGAAGCTTCACGACCGGCCCCTCCCACCCGGACTGTGGTCCCTCCCTCAGACAAACAGCTTCGCCCTCGAAGGTAAGCTCGGTCTTTCAAGGAGGGGGGGGGGTGGCATACTGCGTAGCCACACGGGCCCTGCAGGGCCCGTCCCGCACTTTCAGCCTAAAAGCCTAGAAAATAGGGCTTACAGGCCCCGGTCGTTTCATCCTGAAACTGAAAAACGAGGGCCTGCAGGCCCTATTCCGTTTTCAACCTATTTCTGGGCCTTTTCAGGCCCAGAGGCTTTTCAACCTGAAACGGAGGGCCATTCTCAGGCCCTTAAGATCGACCTACCCTAAACCTCAGGCACAAAACCAGGGTTTTCGGAACAGGCTATCTTTAGCCTGTTCCCACGACTGTCTTGAGCAGGAGCTGCAGCGGCAGCCCCTGACTGCCTTTGGCATTGGCAAGAGCAGCCTCCTGGACTGCTGCCTCGCCTGCAGCCAGTCCAGGCCGAGTAGTACATAGGGGTTYCCCATGCACTTCCCAGGTAGGTAGTTGGACAGTAGGCACGAGTAGTCTTCAAGATTCGGCCACAGCACTCAGGAGGAGCGCTGCAGTAGTCTTCAGCGCTAGCAGTAGCCTTCAGCGCTGGGCGCCCATAGCTGTAGGTGTAGTCTTCAGCGCTGGGCGCTAGTAGGTGGTAGTAGTAGCGTTGGAGGGAGATGGCTGGCGGAGGCCAGCGGTACTTACCTGCATCAAGGCGCCAACTTCACAGGTTAGTACTGGACACTGAGAGAGAGAGAGTTCTTCCTCTTCCTCTTCTAAGTCCACCATCTCTTCTCACCCTCTCACCACCTGACTTCTCAGACTACGACAGAGAGAGAGAGAGAGTTGTGACTTGAGACTTTACGACATTGGATCCAGACTTGACATTTGGGATTCAGACATTTCGACGAGGGACTATTTGGGCCTGTGCCGAAGACTTGGTGTTGACGACATTCCCATCTTCCCCTCCTCTTCGTCTAACCCCCTTCTTCTTCGTCTGTGTATGGTTGGGGCTGGCGCAGTCTTCCTGTGTGAAGCGCCAGACCCCTTTCACACCACGTAACGATGATGATGATGTATGTTCAGGGCTGCATTGCAATATTGATTGTTCGGATCATTGGTATCTAAGTCTTCCCCAACGCCATCTTGTACTTCGTATTGAGAGGTCGGTTCTTGTTCTGGTCTGCACCATTACAGTATGCAACAGTGGTGCTCCCTAGAAGAGCCCGACAGTGAATAAAACAGGGTTGGAGGGTCATAGAGGGTTTTGTTTGGGTTCCCTGGGGGCTTTGAGTATTTTGAAGACGTCTGTGGTGCTCCGTCTGTGGCTATCAGGATTCTTTATGACTGTGAAGGTTTTTAGTGCTCCAAAGCTATACTGATGCTCTTAGTCTCATATTCTCAGCTATTCTTAGCCGAAGCCGGGTAATGGGCCCGGTATCTCAATTGCCTTGCATACGTTTCCCAATATGTTTTCTGATGGGACGCTGGGCCCGGTTCCCAGCACGTGCTGCTCCCCGCGAATAGATTGGAGCATTGTCCTTGCCAAAAAAAAAAAAAAGAAAAAAAAAAAAGGTTTCTTTTAATACCCCCCCGTCCACCCCTTGGTCCCCTCACCACCCCATTCCCCCATACTTCTTCAATTCCTTTTACTACCCTCTCCCCCTAGCCCCGTAGTCCCCCCTACACCTTCCCCTGCCTCCCTCTCCCTCCTAATGTCGCCCTATCCGCTATAGTAATTCTGGTGTCAACCGGGTTTCGTCGCTCCTCCTAGTCATCTAGCTGCTATACAGATCTGTTACTGCCTTTCCTATCCTTCTCCAGGCTCATCCTCCTCCTTGAACCGGGGTACATGCCGCAACAGGGCAGGGCCGAACTGCATACGGCCTGTACATGGATCGGCCTGTACATGGATCTCTAACAATCAGTTGCGGATATGGGCCTCATCTCGCCCAGAAGACTTCCACCTTCTGCAATCCTTAAAAAGGTCAGTTTTTTTTGTTTTTTTTTTGGAACAATGCTCCAAATTTCTCCAATCTATTCGTGGGGAGCAACACGTGTTGGGAACCGGGCCCAGCGTCCATTTGAAGCCATATTTGAGAGCATGTACAGAAGAAAATGAGATACTATTATACTAACCTATTCAACAAAGGGCCTCATGAAGTAGGCTACAGTTTAGAAGAAAACTGAGAAGTCCGAGACAAACTGAGATAAACATAAAGGGCCTAATGAATAGAACCACAAAGCCGATGAACAACTCAAGTCACACAGGAGCCTGTACACCACCTAACTCGGATACAACTCAGTGGCCCAAATCCTCAGCCTCCCTGACATCCTGCCTCGTTGCCAAGCCTTAACCAGGCCTCACGCCCCCATCTGCCAGGTTACGAGGCAGCGCGACCTGCCTCAGAACACTTCCCCATCTGCTAGGTCACAGGGCAGAGCGACCCGCCCCGGCTCCGACCAGCGTTGTCTTGGTAAGAGCCCACGAACAGCCACTGAAACGCCTTCTGCCCTTGACAGTTCCCCAGATCTCTCTACCAGGCCTCATGCCCCCACCTTGCTCAGGTTACAGGGCAGCACGACCCAATCCCAGCACCGGCCAGCGTCGTTCTGGCATTGGTCAAACGCAGGCCACTGAGGATGACGAGATCAGCAAAACCATCGGATGGACCACCAAGCACCACCTCCGCCCTGATTCCGGCTTACCTATGCTGACTCAACTCAACACACCCGACCCCCCTTCAACCTCCTTACCTTACTCGGCGAGACTTATTACAGTAGAGCCACCATCTCTACCGCGGCTACGCCCTAGCTCAATCCTGCCGACTAGCCCCTTCGTCAGCAGAACGCGTTATATCCCACCATCTCCGTATCCCTCTCAACCACTTGGCGTTCACCCCCGTCTGTGCGACCCCTACACAACAGGGTAAGCTCGAGTAACGCCCCCACAAATCACTCCGAATGTGTCCTCGCCCAACCAGCATAGCTCCAATTTCTGGGAGATGCACACTCCGAACTGGCAGTTCTGATACATTCCAAAGCCCTTTCCTTATATGCCTGCAGAGGGGGAGCTGTTCCCTGTCGACATCTCTCGTTCCGCAGGGTCCATAATGCCCACAGCGCAGCCGCACGCAGAGTCTCTGCATCCATCATAGTTTCCGGGTTTGCCCCTGTCCACTTTTATGAGCGTCCCTAAGCGAATCGCTGCATCGTCAGCTTCCGTGACCTCTAGCAGGGATTTATCAGCGAACTCCTGTGCCCACCATTCCCAAAAGGCCCAGACAGTTGGGCATCGCACAAACAGGTGGGGCATAATTTCCGTTTGTCCACACCCTGCGGCGCAACTCTGGTCCTTTATATCTACTTTTGGTTGCTATCCATTGCGGGCATTGCCAAGGGATAAATTTGCCACAGCAACCCCGCCTGCCTCTGGTCCGGGAATGCGACTAGGGGGGGATAGCCTCCCCGAGTCTCATTGCCAAGGGATAAATTTGCCACAGCAACCCCGCCTGCTTCACCCGGGCCCATTGTCCCGGGGAGATTTCATCCTTTCTCAATATTTTGATCCAATGGGGGGGGGATAGCCTCCCCGAGTTCCTTCAACCTTTGCTGACGCTTCATCCGGCCCTGCAGGAATTCCAGCAACTCTTCATCCCTCCGCCAGTCCCTGCAGGCTTTGTCCCATAAATGTCCCACTTTATAGATCCCTTGCAGAACCCATTTCCACTCCTAGGCCCCTCCCGGGCTCTGCCATGGCAAAGGATCCCCAGCAGCATCACATATAAACCTGTTTCCGAACAACAGCTACTTGTATACCGAATCCACGGTTTCTGGCATCTGACATTGCATCTGCACCTTTCTCCACAGAGCCAGTTTTGTTGACCATACAGTGCCCTTTCGAATGTGCACCATTGCCTTGTCACTCAGCAGGCACAGGTCCGCCAGCTCCCGCGGGATCTGGAGTGCGTAGGCCGAATGAGACCAGGTGACCTCTTGCCACACCTCCCSCAGCGTTCCTAGCAGATGCCACAATAGTTGTCGCAGCTGAAGCGCAATGGCCTTGTCACCCAGCAGGCATAGGTCCACCAGCTCCCGCGGGATCTGGAGCGCGTAGTAGGCCGAATGAGACCAGGTGACCTCTTGCCACACCTCCCCCTGCGTTCCTAGCCGATGCCACAATAGTTGTCGCAGCTGAAGCGCAATGACCTGACGATGCGGGTCCAGGAGGCCCAACCCCCCAAATCGGCTTGGCTGAACGAGCTTGTTCCAGGCCACTCTGCATATAGAGTCTTTTGCTTTAGCGTTGTTCGACCACAGGTGCGCATGAATCGACTTCCTGATATAGAGGAAGGTGCGTTTTCCCGGCATATGCACTGCCCCTGCATACCAGAGGGTGGCGAGCACAGAGTTGTTGATGACAATGGCTTTACCAAGAAAGCCCATGCTCCCCCTTGCACTCCATACTTCGAGACGAGCCTCCGCCCCCGTGGCTCTCATTGCCATCTGGTCCACACCCCCATATGACGGCGTCAGGTTCACCCCAAGGAAGGTCATCCTCTCTTCGTCAGTCATTGTTGGAATGTCCCAGTCCCCTGGCAGACTGAAGTTCAGCGGAAGAATGGCCTTCGACTTAGCCCAGTTGACCCGTGCTCCGGAGTATTTGCCGAAGATCTGCAGGTCCTCCTTTACAGTGGCCGGTTAGTGGTCCGTCGGGGCTATCACTGCACCTGAGTCGTATGCAAATACCGTTGACCGCAATTCCAGAATCGGTCCAACTTTCAAGCCGCATAAGTGATCGTCTGCCCTTAATATGTCATGCATTGATTCTATGTATACGACATATAGGGCGGGGGAAAGAGGGCATCCTTGCCTCACTGATCTGGTGACGCCGATCGTGTCCGATCTCACTCCATTGACTTGCATCACTGTCGTGGCTCCTGTCAGTAGCATTCTTACCCAACTACGAAAGATAGTTCCTATCCTTCTTTGCGCGGTCCCTTGCATGAGGAACTCCCACCGAACTCGATCATAAGCTTTTTCTAGATCAATCGGCGCAAAGGCCTTTGCTCGACCCGTGCATTGGTCTTCCTCTAGGATCTGCTGTGCCAGCAGAACGTTGGATAGGATCTAGCAGAATACGACGAACCCTGTCTGTGTGCAATCTATAAGCTGTGGTACCACCTCCTTCAGGCGGGTCGCTAGCACCTTGGCCAAGATCTTGTATGACGCATTCAAAATGGAGATCGGTCGCGAGTTTCGCCCGCCCGCCTTTGCTCCTTTCTTGTACAAAATGATGACGGATGCATCTGCAAAGCCTTCTGGAAAAAGGTCAGTCCTTGGCGCTTCGTTGAATGCCTCAGTCAGCAGTTTCACAAAGAAATTGCGGTAGTCTTTGTACATTTCCACTGGAATACCGTCCAGTCCTGGTGCCTTGAGCCAGGGGAGTTCCACTATTGCTCTCTCCACCTCCTCCGGACTAATGTCTTTTCCCAAGTTACACGTGCTCTCCAAGTCCAGTCATTTCCAACTCTGGTTTCCCGGCCATAGCAGCCAACGACGGCCCGGCGTCCATTCTTCTTCTTCCGCTAACAGCTGTCTATAGAAGTCTGTCACGCACTTCAAGATTCCGCATGTCGTGCATTGTTCTCCCAGGCGTGCGTCAAAGGGACGATTCATCGTTGTCATCAGCGGCACCAACTTCCTCGTACACATTGAAGCGAAGAACTTTCGTAACATTCGCTCGCCTATAGCAATCCATGATTTCTTTGTTCGCCTCCCCCATTCGATCGGTTCATCCCTCAGGCAGTTTTCCCAAACTCAGACCCAGCCCCAGTTTAAGCACCGGCGTTCCGAATTGACAAGTGGTACCTGGATCAGTTCAGTGGAGCCAAGGCATTGAGCTTGCAGGCAGGCACCACTTCACACATCTAAACCAAGTAACTTGTTTTCAATGGAGGTGCTCTTACCACCCTCTCTCTCTCTCTCTCTCTCTCTCTCTCTCTCTCTCTCTCTCTCTCTCTCTCTCTCTCTCTCTCTCTCTCGTGCGCGTGCGCTCGCTCGCTCATTTTGCAGAAAGTGCTTGCTCCCTTTCCCCCCTTTGGAGGTGTTATCCACACAATTGTGGAGCAGCCATCAGGCTTCATGCATCGCAGGCGACAATCATCTCACATCTTGTGCGCATTATTTCAGCGCCATGCCTTTCTGTAATGAAACCATGAGTCTGCCGGCTAACCGAATGCACGAACGGGCCACGACAGACGTGCTGAAATCGCAAGGTGGGTCACAACCTCATCTAGGAAAAAACTTGCAAATGCAGAGTTGAGCAACTGGACATTGGAGAAATGTGAAAATATATGATGAGACATTTTTAGAGCACTGTCGGAGTGAGGATTGGCAATCTACGTCTTCACTGTTATGCAATCTTGCACAGTAGGAATCCGGACCTTTGTGCTGATCTAAAGGCCTCCTATACTGACTTGTTTTACAGTCAGCAGGAGGAGGAGGAGGAGGAGGAGGAGGAAGAAGAGGATAAGGACGAGAAGGACAAACAAAAGGAGGATGAGAGGAGGAAGACGTGTTGGAGGGAGGATAAGGAGAGGAGGACGAGGAGTGGCGGCAAGAGGAAAAGGAAGACAAGGAAGAGAACGAGGAGGCAGAGAAAACTTGACGGCGACGAAGAGTCGAGGAAGAGGAGAAAACATTGATGACGACGAAGAACCGAGGAGGAGGAGGAGGAGGAGGAGAAGGAGGAGGTTGTTGAGTGGGAGGCGGTGTTGGAGGAGGGGGGAAAGGGCAGTGCAACAACCGCGCACAGTGGGAGAGCCAGGGAAGAGAACTGCAATCAACAACCTGTGAGTTGGGATACAGCAACCACAAGGTCCACACACATATATGTGCTCATCAAGCAGAACAGAGAGAGGTCACAATTGACAAATATCTGTAGTACTCTGAATCTCTTCTTTCTGGAAATTTTTCAAAAAAGCAATACAATGTGCCAATGGCAAGATAAGAAACTCGCAAGAGAAAAACTAAACGAGAAGAACCTCAGGGTTCTCTCCTCTCTCCGGTAAATGGACAGACATATAGCCCTCTCTCTCTCTCTCTCTCTCTCTCTCTCTCTCTCTCTCTCTCTCTCTCTCTCTCTCTCTCTCTC